CACTATAACTTGCATATTATTATATTACAAGTATTAAAAGCCAAGATGTTGTCTTAGTTGATTTTCTGTTGCTATAATAAAATACCTGCGGTTACTTCATAAACAAAAGAGGTTTATTTCAATGACAGTCCTGGAGAATCAAGAGCATGGTGCCTGGCTTTTATGGAGACTTTCTGACTACATCACAGCACACCACAGCACAGCCAATAGCGTCATGGTGGGGACTGTGAGAGGACAAGATCACATGGCAGACAGGATGCAGAGATTCGGGGCCAGGCTGGCTTCTTTCAAGCAACAACCTGCTCTCCCAGGAACTAATCAGGGTCCTGCAAGAACTATACTAATCCTTCCCATGACCAAACTACCTCCCATGAGGTCCCACTACTTCAGCATCTCTGCACCAAAGACCATGTTCCCAGCACATGGACCTATGGGGAACACATCCAAGCCATACCCAGACCACAGGAGATGTCAGCTGAAGCAGCAGGGTACCCATGCTAAAGGAGATGACAAGAGAATTAAAATGGCACACTAGAAAATATGTTTGACACAAGTGGCAAAAGATGGATAAAGAAAGGAACAAAATACAGAGAGAAAACAGCCAAATGGCAGATGAGAATCCTACTTCATTGGTAATTTTATGAAATATAAATGGATTAAAGACTACAACTGAAGTCAGAGACTGGCAGAATGGCAGAGGTGGGAGAATGTGAAGATACAGCAGGACTAGACAGTTACCGGGAAAAAATTCTCCATGACACCCTCCAACTTTAGTCCTCAGTTTCCTCCCTAGAAACTCTGAGAAGCTTCCTGCAGCTCTTTCTAGAGATGTTCTATGCCCTTGCTAGTAAGTACGTGTGTGTTACCATTTTAATAGCTGCCTGTTATCTTCTATGGAATCACTGTACCTTATTCCACCCATCCACTCTCAAGGGATCTGCCCTAACCCTAACCCTGCTGGCTGCCTCTCTGTGCCATGCCACACTGATTGTGCCTGAGTGAGTTCCCCTGCTCATATGTGACTGGGTCAATAGGACAACTTCTTAAAACTCAAACTGCTGGGTCAAGACTCCTCAGTCAGAGGAAGCTTCTTCCACTCTAGGTCTAGCTGTTGCTGTTGTTTTTATTTTAGGGTAGGGGTGTGTGTGTATGTGCACAACTTTTTAATTTCAAACTTACAGAAAAGTTGCAAGAATCATATAAAAAATCTTCCTAATACTCTTCAGCTAGACTGACCGATGGTATATATGTTTTATCATTTTTAGTTCCCTCTGTGTGTGTCTATATATACTTACATATGCATACTAATTTTTTCTGCATCATGCAAACATAGGTCAAGACATTCTACCTCTCTACCATTAAGTACTTCAGTGTGTATTTCCTAAGTACAGGGACATTTTTCTTTTCATTAGCACAGTTCATGATTAAAATCAGGAATTTTTTTCATTTTTTTCGACAGGGTCTCACTGTGTAGTTCATTCAGGCTGGCCTTGACTATGTGGCCCAGGCTGGTCTTGAACTCATGGCCATCCTGCTTCAGCCTCCTGAGGGCTGGGATTACATGTGTGTGCCACCATACTAGGCTAAATTTTTAAAAACTTAAACTTTTAATACTAAATACTGCACTGGGTCCTAGGCCAGAAAAAGGACATTAATAGAAAAAGTAGTGAAAAAGATCTGAATAAAGACAGAGGTTTAATTACTAGTAATGTACCCATGTTGGTTTCTTAGACTCAACAAGTGTGGCACTGTGACACAACAGTCTTCCTGGAACTATTTTACAATACAACTTGCTATGGACTGAATTGTGACTGCACCTCTCCCAATTCATAGATGGAGTTAGAATCTCCAGTTGACTGTGTTATGACTTATGTCTAGATGTCCCCTCAAAGCCTCATGTAGTCATAGGTAGGGCTTTTCAGAGGTAGCTGGATCTGGAGTGTATGATGCTGGGATTAAGGGTACATGATTACTAAATTAGTCCACTGACTGGTTGGGCATAGTTCTGGGTAGGATTAAGGGTGCCCCACTCTGAGTATGAGTGCTACCCGCCCTAAGGGTGGATAGGCTGGAAAAGATATAAGAGACAGAAAGAGGGTCACTGCTTGTCACTTCTTTGTTTTGCTACTTCACTGACTGCTGCTTCTTGCTTTGCTGCCTTCTGCCCACCATGAACTGGTTCTCCTCTGAAATGACCCTCTGCCATGCCACCCTGCCTCGGACCCAACCAACTATGGACTGATACCTCTACAAACTGTGAGCTAAATAAACTTTTCCTCCCTTAACTTGTGGGTGTTGGGTATTTTGTCTCAACAACAAGAAAAGTAACTATGACAGACTATACTTGGAGAAAGGGCCTTGAAGAGAGGGTAATGATCAATGGGGGTCATAAGGGTAGGACTTTAATCAAATAGGATTCGTGTCCTTTTAAAAAGAGGAAGAGACACCAGGTCTCTCTATCTGTTTGGGCATACAGAGAACAGGCCATGTGAGAACCTATGAGAAGATAACATCTATAACTCAAGGAGAGAGGTCTCACCAGAAACCAACCCTGATGGCATCTTGATCTGGGACTTCCAGCCTCTAGAATTGTGAGAAATCAAATTCAGCTATTTCACTCCCCAGGCTGTGGGACTTTGTCCCGGCAGTCCTAGCAAACTGACACACTGTGTCAGTATGACAACTTGCTTTTCATTCTGCCACCAGGATGAATTATACTCACCACCAGTTTTGACTCAGGCCACAGAGATGTCTCTAGCCATTAAACCCAAAAGCCACTGAAACTATCTACACTGTAAAATGCCTCTGTTAAAATTGGGTTTTAATGGTGTATTCTGTAAGTTATTTAGTGGGTTGATCACTAGATAGTCATTCCAAGCTGTTACCATCAAATGGTGTTATCTCTGGTTTCTTTAATTCTAAGGTAGCCTCTCCATCCCCACAGTGTACTCTCCACCATTTTAAATGTGTGATAAGAAGCTGGGACCCTGGTGAGGTGACCCTGGTGGAGAATATGAAGGTGATGAAAGTGACAGTGCTGTGGAAAGAACAGTGCTTTCCAAGAAGCACCTTGATGGCAAGAATTATGACATTTGAAGAGGGGCCTACTATAACTTTTGTCAGGAAAGTCCCTGACAAACAACTGGTTGTGGAGATTAATTCATATGGCTACCCAAAGGTGAGGCACTCAGATTTCTGATAACAAAGAACTCACGTGATAAGGAACTGTTTGGGAGTTAGTCTAAAATAAGGATTAAGTCATGATTTTGCTGCAACATATTTACCTTTTAATTGACTTCACATCAATGGTAAATTGGAAAGGCAAGATGTAAGTTTCTCAAAATGTTATCTAATTGATTCTTATGTGGAATCATTAGTCAAAGCTTCCAAGGAGATGACACCTTTTACAATAAGAGAAAACACTTCTATTCTAATTATTAAGTGAAACATTTTAAGGAGTATGTCTCTTGTCTCTGTTTGAATATGACTTAAAAGAACACTCCATAATCATATGCAAGGTAAGGAATCAGTAGTGCAAATAGAAAAAGAAGTCTCCCCTTTTACTTAAGTACCACTGACACCACTGTACTAAGAATGTGTCTATCAGGAGCAGCACAGAAAGAACAAACTGGCTTACAGATTAAAAACATGTCAATTATTTCATGACTAAATGTCAAACAGAAAAACTGAGTGGTTTAGAAGTCTATCACATCATACCACATTGGGTCTACATCTAATGGCATATAAATCATTTATCATTAAAGGCCTTTTTATATAGGTCAAAGTTGCTGGAGCTTGGTGTTCTGTATCTTACAGTTTAAAGAATGCTCTAAATTCTAGTTTTTTTAACTTTCTAATCTATGGGAAAGAAAACTAAAACTTCCTATAAACTCAGATTAATGCCTGCTAATGCATGGAAGAAAGAAAAACTAAAACCTTCCTCCTACTATAAAAACAAAATAGTGTGGCCTCTGTTTCTTTTCTGATAAGAGTCTTAAATACCAAACAGTTAACTGTATAATAACATTTACTGGCAGCCAGGCAGCCTGCTTAGCAGATATATAAAGCAGGTAAAAGGAGAAAAAGTTAATTTCTTGGCTGAATGATTCCATCGGTAGCTACAGGGCAAACCTGAAAGTCTTTTAGTAAAGTAGCAGTTGATTCTTCTATCAATCTGTAGCACACACACTCTTCCAAGGAAAGCATTAAATATGAAAATCATATCCCGTTATCATCAGTTCCCAGCTTTCAGCCCAGTAAGCTTTTCTTAATGAATGCTGCAGCCTAAGGAACCAGCACGCTGCTGGCTTTTCTGAATAATGGAGTGATGTGAACATTTTTGCTTATTCCAATATCGACTGGCTGAGGGGGTTTCACACAGGCACAAGTGACTACTCTTGCCAGCATGCTCCAAGTTATTACAAGACGTTTTTAGACATTTCATCTAAAAGAGCTTTACTGCTTTTAGTGAAGAAAACATCTATGGTCTTGAACAGAATCATTTATATGGAGATAGGCGGGAGGATTAGAAGCCTGCATTACAGCAGATACATAGCAGAATTTATTTAAGTATTTCTTGCTGGGGTTTTTTGTCTATTGCTTAGATATGCAATCTTTCTTTCCACTTTCTCTATGAAAAGGTTAAAACGTACAAAATTACACACAGAAAGGAAAGAACCCAAATGCAACATTTTGTTTACTTTTCATTTAAAACATTTTTCAAAGTAAGACAAAAAGTAGCTATAAAGCATTATTTAGAAAAACGCAATTTTACCTGCTAACAAGGTTTTTCTTTGGAATCTAAATCTTAACCCCAAAGTGACTGCCTTTTGGCAAATTTAATTATACTTTAAAGCAATACTTTGTAAGCAAAAATCTTCAATCACTTAAGGTTTAATCAAAATGATCTTTATGAGGTGATTTTATTAAAATAATATCTTAAAATATAAACATTCCAGAAATCATCTGAAAACAAAAAGTTTATTATTTTAATTTATTACCTTTTCTCTGCCTTCATCTTTCAGTTCACCTTTTATTCCCAGGCTATCTTTTGAGAGTAGATGCATCTTCTTAATTTGAGTCTCATATTCAATCTAAATATAAACAAAGTTTGATTTTGTGGCAGATATCATTACAACTAGAAACTGTCTGTATCTTGCAGTCTTTACAACATAAAAGGAAAAGTGAAGTAGGAAGTATAAACTGATGTTGCCAAGAAATTCAACTTACCTTAGTTTCATAAATAACACATACCAAGTGTTGAATTCTATAGAATGTTAGATATACTGTTAAATAAAGCAAGGTTTAATGGATTTTTTAGTGTCTCATCTATTTATAGAATAAAATCTTGGTATAGATATGTACATATATGATACAGCTTGACAATCATAAGTTATGGTGAAAATCCAGTTACTTGAATATGCAAGTAAAATGTTAGTATTTTCTTTAAAAAGTTTTGTTCTAAACAAAGGAAAAAATCAATCCTACTGACTTCTTATGTATGCAATATCTACACAACATAATCTTCCTAATAATCACAGCAATTGAGTGTATTATCAGGTAGATCATCAATTTAAAGCAATTCCATTTTCTAGGAATAAAAAATACTGTAGAAAGTCATCAGTACCATAAAACTCAAGTTTACTTTGGTACCAAAAAAGATGTCTGGATCATTACCCCACATACTTGATGAAAGAGCTTCAATCATAAAATGACCTCTTTCTTAAATGCAAGGCATAAAAAGCACTTTAATTCAGTACATTAGTAGTCAAAGCTTAAAAAGTCACTGATTATGGTCCATCACCAAGAAGTACAGTATTAAAACATTTTCTAAATTAGGAAGTTATGCACTGCAACTAAATATACACCTATGAGATCATTAACTTAGAAAGCTGTTTCCTTAGTTCTTGGCTTGAATATGACATAGGCCTGGGTTTGTACTGACACACAATATGAACCGTCACTAATAACCAAAACTGATGTGCTTCCCTCAAAATATTTTAAAAGGTGTTATATGCTGTCCTATATTTTAATAATAGGGATTTATTTTTCCTGTAGCAGAATGCTATTAACATGATGGAGGGCAGTAATGATCTAAATAGATACAAAGTTTTACAAGGCCATGCTACAAATGATAAAATAGAAAATATGAAGAAATAAGGCAATTATAAAAACAATTTACATCTCTCTATTCTGTATCTATGCCTTTGAATTTAGAGATATTTAATTTTTAATTCTAAGAGCTTTAAACAGGCATACTTCACAGATTTCATGGGAAATTATCTTTAAAAAGCAGTAAGAGATGGATTATAATATGTAATTACAAGTTAAACAAAAATTCTTTTTTTCTGTGACTACAAATGTTTTCTTTCACTCTTTGAGATCAGTGAGTACTGTCCCTGATCTTGTCACTATGGGGTCATTTCTGAGCTGTATCTCCCAAAGACCTAACACTTCCTTATGAAAGCATGAGAGTTTTATTCAATTCATTCCGCTAAGCCAAAATGGAAGTGATAACTGCATAAGCACTTTCTGAAGAACAGTCAGATATCTTCAAGAGCTCAATTTAGGTTGTTCTCCATACATCTGAAAAAGTTACCAAACTTTTCAAAATTACTGATGCAAAGAAAAACTGTACAATATTTTTTGAAATCAGAATGGTACTCTTAAAAATCAATGATTGATACAAACTCTAATTCTACATCACCTGGGACAACAGATTGAGACCTAAAGGGACTTTGTTCTTTATCTTTCACTTTTACATATGACACTTGATTATCACCCATCAAATCCACTCCTGAACACAGGTCAACAGGAGCTTTCAGCTGTTCTCTACAACTCCCTGAGGCTCCCTAGTCCCACTTCCTTAAGGATTCAGTTACTTTTAAAAGCTTTTTTAAAGTTTGTAAACTACTGTATAGACAAATGTTTCCAAGACTTTCCCCACTAAAAAATATATACTTTAACATCAGAGTACGTGTCTTCATTTGCATTTCCATCTCCAACAGCTGGTCTTTCACATGCTGTTGCTGATTTCTTTTCCCATCAGGCCTCAGATGTTTCTTCTATTTCCACATCTAGGCTTAGCATGCATCCTTTTTTGCTAGTGCAGACTCCTATCCCCGATTGCTTTCTGCCACTTGGCCTAGATTTTTCAGTTAGACTTGCTGCTTCAGGGACTACCTAACTCATGCCCAGCAGCATGGCCTAGTACAGAGCTGCTCCAAAATAATCCCTTCATCCTCTGCTCCAGCTGGGAAATCTGGTCTTGGGTGGTAAACCAAGGGCATTGAGTCCAGGCATCTGGTAACTCATTCTGTCTGTTACTATTTGCTTCATGGGAGTGGTTTGATGTTGTACAACAAAATTGAGGAGGCTTTCCCATCTGCACATGCACATGCACATGCACATTACTTCGGATCATTCACTGGAATATTAACAAGGATCTAGGGTCATGGGGAGGGCAGCCAGAGGTACTTGCAGATGCCTCAGGTCTCTGTCGTGTTTCTCCAGGCTCACCATGCACCCTCCCTGTGTTCTGTCATGCTTCCTCTGTATCCTCATGCTCACACCTGAAGTGTCTCTTCTGTCCCAGTGCTATGGTCCTGATCATGCCACCACTGCCTTTTTCTTTGCAAGCTTCCTTCTTTCCCTGGTTTTCGGATTGTACAGAGATTTCTCTGTTACAGAACAGGGGAACAGTTGAAATGAACAGACACTGAAGATCAGCTGGCTTTGCCTCCTCATATTACAGTTGAAGAAATGGGTACAGAGTCACATTAGTTGTCTGATTTAATTCTCAAGTGAATTAAAGACATAAAACTCAGATTCACAGTCTTCTGTTTTCTCTTCCTCTATTTTTTCCAATATATGTGCTTCTTCCTACATTGTGAACTTTATTCAAAAGTATGGAGAACATTTATTTATTCAACTAATAAATATTTATGAGTAAGGCACTCCGGTTGATAAAAATGGGCTTTGCTACAGATTTGGTCCTTCAATAGCCTGAAGATCATGCCCTGTCCACAGTGTCTGTCAAAATACTTACTAGGAATGTGAATGAGAGTTCAAAATATTTGTTTTCAAATCTTATTCCCTTTTGGCACATATAACCTAATGACAGAATTTCTAACAAGAATAAATCTTTAAATAATGAGATTACATCTTCAGAATGCCTCTGCTAGAAACCCAAATGCTTCTTGCAAAGTTATAACATAGGCAGTGGTGGCGAACCTATGGCACTTGTGCTGCAGTGAGCTGTTTGTCATCACTGAAAGCTCTAAAAGGTTCACCATCATTGACAAAAGGTATAATCAATACCACATTAGTTCTTATATAGTTGTTCATGGTCCATAAGGGACAAAACAAAAAATATGGAAGCATTAATTTTCAGTCAAGGGGGGCAGGTCTCAGTGCTTCCTGAGTGCTTACTGTGTGCCATAGTGAGAGCATTGAAATTGGGAGGCAAGGAGCTCACAATAAAGAAGGAAAACAGACATGTAAACAATTCCAATCCCATGCAGGAAGTGCTTCCTGTGATAACGTAACACAGACCTAAAGCAGGGCAGCAGAGGGGCCTTCTCGTGGAGGTAAGGAGGAAATAATTCAGAGCTTTGGAGGAGATGCAAATTGTTCAGCTGTTTTAAAGTGCTGTGGGTGCATGTGAGTGAGCAAGTATGTGTGTGAGGAGTGCACATGTGCAGGAGATGTAGAACAGGAGTGGGAAGATAAGGGATGGGAGACATAAAGGCTCTGGGGGAGAAAGAGGCAGGAGTTGGGGACAGGCAAAGGCAGAAAGCCAGGAATAGGGAAGGCAGACAGATGGGAGGGACAGATGGAGATGGAGGGAGAAAATGGGTGGGAGAGGACAGGGAGAGGAGGAGGCGAGCAAATGTGCATGTCTGCGTGCGAGTGTGTGCACATGTATGCAAGTGTGCATGCATGTGTGTGAGGTGCATGTTTATACAGTTAAAGCTGAGACCGGGCAGAGACAAGCATCTGACCTTTGTTCTGAAAAGTGTGGGTCAACACTTCCGGCCAAGACATAACCAGTGACGAGGTGCCTAGTGTGGGGACCCTGTGCCTGGCACTGCTGCTGAGGGGGGCTATGCAGACGTTGGCAATGCTCTACACATGTCCTGGACCACTCTGGGTGCTCTGAGTTCCAGTACCAAGGTCTCTGTGCCTAAGGCTCCTTGGAACCAGAAAGCTGCTGTGGCCATAGGAGGTATGGCTAACCCCACCGCCACCTGTGCCTTTGCCCACCAGTTCTCAACCCACACCAGGCAGTGCCCAGGATACACATCCCAGATACTCCCAACCACTCACCAGAGTTTTCCCTGTGCAATGAGGCATGAGTGGCCAGCTGCAGAAGGCAGCTTGGTGATACTTGCTGTGCCCTCCTTCTCCTTGCTTCCCCACCCAGCCTTCTGATGTTCCTTCCTTTCCCAGGTGAGTGTCTTACAGCTGACTCTCTTCTCAGGGGATACTTTGGGAAGAACCCAATCTGTCTGAGACAAGACAAAGGGAATCTGGGAAAAACGGCTCTGAGTGAGGACAACCTGGGGTTGGGACCCTTTTAGACAGCAGCCAATGCCAGGAGCAGGAAGCAGAGCATGAGGAGCCATGCTCCTCACAGGACTCACATTCATGCTTACACTCTGGCAGCGAGTTTATTGGCTCCTTCACCCACCTGACAAGTAACAATACAGCCCTACAGCCCCAATACTATATTTTCAAAACTACACAACACATCCATATCCTTTAAAAGCACTAAAAATTATCTTTGGTCTCCAAATAACACAGTATGATTAGTAAAATCAGTTGAAACTGTTTTAGCTTTGAGCCCATCTTTAAAGATTTTAATGGTACACATATAATAAGGTGGCCCTAGCCCATCTCCATAGAGGGAGAAATCTACTCAGCATAATTTGGGCAGATCCCACTTCTCCCCCACTGCTTCACTTTCATTAATTTTCCTGCCTCCTGCCAACCTGCAGGTCATCCATAGGTCATCTGCTCTATCTGAAGGAAATAGCCCTGGCATCGCATGTATGCAGGCAGCACCCTGTGGACACCTCTGTCCTGAGATTCG